AAAAAAAAAAAAAAGATCAGAAGACTCCATACAGATGGGTTAGCCTAGAGCAGGCAAGGCTGTGTAAAGTCCGAATGGCTTTCCTCACAAGGATGAATATGGAACAAATGGGGATCAACTTCAATCCTATCACTTAGGATTAGTGTTAGAAGCTGGCATGAGTGAGCTGTGGCATCAAGCATCTGCCATTAAGATCAAAAAGAAAAAGAGAATTTCCCATCTGTCTAGAGGAATTATAGTCATTACAGAGCTCAGGCAAAAGATCAAGTGAATTGATAAAGAAGTCTGAACCAGGACATACCAGAAAGTAGAAAGGTCAGAAGTTTCCATCAGCACTTTCTCTACTGAGTCCAACATTCGGGAATGAAAAACAATGAGGTTCATCACCTTGGCTAAGTCAGGGTTCTCATGCAGGTGCAGGGGAGCCTTTGCCACACTGGTATAGGCCTGTGGTTGGAGTTGAGAAAAGTGTGGAGAAAAAAATAAGAATGAAATGGATCCCCCAGCCTTGGGACTACAATTTGGCCTAGATATGTCCTGTTCAGTCTGCAGTTTTCCACGTTTAATCACTCCATAAAGCAGAGCTTGGGAAACAAAACCAGAAGGACTTTTGGGAGAGGAAGAAACTAAGGCAGGGCGGAGTGCCTACCAACAGGAGTAGACCATTACCTGCAGGCGAAACCAGTCTAGCCTTAATCCAGAGAATTCGAATTTCTCTCCATTATCAACTGCAAGAGAAACAGAAATATAAAAGGAAAAAATAAAATAGTACTTAATATCTGACTGCAAGAAATGGTAGGTTCTCTTCAGAGTCATCTTGCCCTGTACTCTGGCTCACAGATCAACATTTAAAAATACATTGACCCTCACAAATGTCCTGCCTCCTCCACCTCCCTTCAGTTACCTTGTTTGAGATTCAGATTGGAGAGGGTACTGACGAATGAGGACATGATGATGGACTCCTCCTCTGGACACACAGACAGGTTCTAAAAGAAGGGTTGGAGTTGTTGTCGGTGGGCATAGTCAGTCAATGAAGGTAGGAAGAATTCCTAAGTGCCCAAAGCAGAAGCAGCCAGGAAGTGATGGAGGAAACTTACTGGAAAGTTTTATTTTTCTCTATTTATGTGTAGTTTGACTTAGGAAAAATATACTGCTGAGGTTATTTATCTTTTTTTTAACAAATGTAGAACAATGAGCATAGTGGTGCATACCTATAACCCAAGCACTTGGGAGACTAAGGCAGGAGGATCATGAGTTTGAGACTAGCCTGGCCTACAATAGAGAGACCAAGTCTCCCAAAAAAAAAAAAAATGTAGAAAAAGAAATCAGGCTTTTCAACACCCAATCTACAGAGCATGAGATTTACCCATCATGGCTCCAAGAAGAAAATGAATGATCAGAGATCACCCTGAATTTCCAAAGTATAATCAAACACACCTGAATGATGTCACTGAGCACAAGAGCATCAAATCTGGCCAGGTACTGAAGATGATATTGTTGTATCACTTTGATGTGTCTTCGTACCAAAGCCCTAATCTCCTCCAACAAGAAAAGTAGCTCTGCAATGCTCCTGTAAAATTCAGGGTGATAGAGACAAACATAGGGATAACAAGGCAAAAAGTAAGAATCCCTGAGGTCATTTGATTCCTCCTTGTCCCTTTTTTCCAGTCCACCTAAGGACAAGATTCTTAGGTACTCTCGAGTACTAACGAGTCAGTGTAGTCCTCAGGTGTCTTTGTCTTGGTAACATTTTCTGTATGGCGAACCAGCCAGGTGACCTCATCACGAATGAAGGACAGGGCCATGAAAGCAAAAAGAGCCTAAGGAAAGGACAGAGACTATTAGAATTTTTAACATTAAAAATGGATTTCAAAACAGAAAACTACGATGATAGTCTGCATACAGATACAATTGTGTAGCTACACCAACAGCGTCCAGTGATAAGCACCTAGACACACACAAAGACTTCAACTATGTGACACAAAATCAGCATGTACAGGTATTGACACTGGCTCACAGTCAGTACGCCTCCCTTCCTATCAAATTAAATTTTAGAAATATTTACTGGGTATTTGTAAAGTTTAAAACAGAAAAGCAAGCTCTGTCTTCAATTAGTTCACACTCAGAAGATAGGACACAAATAATTAACAAGCTATTTATCATGAGTACTCTTAAGATTCAAGGAACCAGCTCGGACCAATACAAATAGATCACAAAAGACTCAAAAATACACAATCTCATGAATGCCAGTCACTCCCCCATAGAGTCTCATCATTGATCATCACCCCCTCCCAACATTTCTCTCTTGCCTTAGGACCCAGTAGACCTGGCTCATCAGTTAACACAGTCTCCAGCTCCTTCACAGACATCCGCAAAAATTGCCGCCGTTGACAATGAAACTGGCCGCTGAGGAAGAAAAGTAGAAACTAGAGAATATTGCCTCTCCCTCCCTTAAAAATCCTCCACGGGAAGTGCAGAAGAGAGCTGCATTTGGAAAGGGGTATCAATGCTAAAGTTAGACTGGAAAAGAAAACACAAGGAATCTGTATGGCAGCAACAAGTTCCTGGGTCAAAACAATAGGTCTGCACAGAAACTCAGGGTGGCTTTGATTCAGGAGAGGTTCCTATTCCATCCCCTCTCAAAGAGCTGATGCCCCACCTTTACCTGTTTGCAATTACATGTTCCTTGCTCTCCTTGATGTCTGCCACTCTCTTGCCATACCTGAGGATAGACACAGCACAGCAGGGTTGGCCATGTCACCAGTTAGCGGCCTTGTCCCACCTTCCCATCCTCAGAGTCTCCAACCTATAGTGCACTGGCAGCCCTTTCTAGCAAGATCGTTCCAAACCCTATTTCTGACCTTTTCCTGCCAATACAAGACTCATAGAGCTTGGAGATCATTCCTCTACCTCTTCATTTTGCAGATAAAGAAAATAAAGAAAGGAAATGATTATGTGCCCAAGGTCACATAAGGTCTTAATGGCAAATCTAGAACTGGATTTCTCTTCTTGTCCTTGTACTCCTGACTTGACACCTTCAAGTCAAGGCACTCTTCCAGGTTTGAGTGGAATTAAAAAAAAAAAAGCAGTGCATAAATGTCACACCAGCTCTGCTCTGAAGTAAAAGTAGTTGCTCCAGCTGTACAATGGGTCCCATTCCTATCTACTTCCTCTTGGAATTTAACTCAACCAGTTACCTCTTTCATACTTTAATCTCTCCCTCTCCATTGACCTTTTCTCTTCTCCCAACAAATAAGTTCAAAGATCCCCATATTCTAACAAGAACTTAATTTGTCCCTGACAATCTACTAAACTTCTCCCACATCACCAAACTCCTCCAACTGACTCTTAAATCCCAAAGGCCTTCAACACTTCACAAACTGCTCACTCTGAAGTCAATGTGAACTTTTGAATCACCAAATTAAATAGTGTTTTCTTTGTTTATGGTCTGTCTACAGTATTTGACCATAATTCTTTTTATTCTATTAGTGATCTGTGCTCAAAATCCCAACATTACCATTGACTCTTTGCTCTCTGTGTTCCTTTCACTTATCTTCTTCTTTCATCCTGGATCCCTGTCACCACCACATTAATGGGACTTCATAACCTCTCATTTCCCTTCTCCAAACCACTTCTTTATTGAACTTAGCACAAAATTTTTTAATGGAATTGAAAAGTACCTTAATTAAATTGGGATTCAACTCCATAGGATTCCTGATGAATAATTATTTCAACCTCTATTTAGTACAAGGGAAAGAAACAGGATTAAAGACTAACAGAGTAGTTTAAGTGGTAAAGCATCTGCCTAGCAAGCATGAGGTACTGGGTTCAAACCCTAGTACTGTAAGAAGGAGGAGGAGAAAGAAGAAGAAAAGGAGGGAAGGAAGGAGGGAAGGAAGGCAGGCAATGATTTTTTTTT